CGATAGTATTTTGAGGATATATATCTCCTCAAATATTTTGATAGTATTTTGAGGATATAGATATACACACACACACAAAATAAAACACACAGTTTATCAATAAATAGTAATTAGATGAAAAGATCAAACTGTACTCATTTTTATTTCCTTTGGCCATACCTTTCTTAAAAATTATTTTGGGGATTCGTGATTTTTTTTTCTATATAATATTATTAAATATGTTTTTAATTGGAATTTACCTGAATTGCAACTTTGTCAATAAAACAGCATCCTTATTGTATAAACCAAGAAAATTCAGGAAAGTATAATTTGCTGAAACTAATATTAGATTCACAGAACTGTGGATAAAATTTGAGTTCTTCTGAACACAGATAGATCCCCTTTATAGTCTTCATTAGATCTATGTCAAGATACTCTGTGTGAAAATTATGTAGTTTCTTAGTGGATTAAATTAAAGTCAGTAAAGCCATTGTATAAATAGCTGGAAACTGAGGAAGTGGAGGGTTTGCCTGGGGAGCTGTATTTTGTGTGTGCCTGAGAGGACAGCAGGCCCCAGGTTCCGGGAGCATCTGAGTGATCCTTCTGAAGGTAGAGGCTCTCTTACTGTCAGCCTCAAAGATAAGTCAACTCTTGCTCTTCAGTTAAGCATTTCTTATTTTTACCTTCTTCTCCCCCCCCCCCCCCCCTCAGGTGGGCTCTTTGTTTTCAGGATCTATTTGGTATAAGGTCATGTTTTGCATTGACCCATACTGGCCCAGAGAAATGAACTCCATCTCCAAGGAAAGAACAGTACCTCTGGGAATAAGAATGTATATGCCTCTACAGTGCTTCTAGAATATTAAAAAGCATGGGAGGATGGCAGTCAACACTCACCGTCCCTGAAACTCTTACTCGAGTATTTATGATCACAAGACTGAGCAACAGGACAACAATGACGTCCTAGGTTGAGATTTCTAGTTCTTTGGAGTAGGAAAACCAGCTTGAGCCAAGATCCCAGGATGTTGTAGGCAGGAACTCCAATGAGAATATTCTAGGCTCACATTTAATGTCTTTCTGGCAAGTAGGACAAGCAGACAGATTTTTAAGAAGTTGGTGGGTGAGAACTTATTGGGGAGAGAAGCTTGGATAGGTCTTTGTGGGAACACGTATTCTAAATTTATTATGTTTTTCAAAGAATGGAGCTAGATGCAGATTCTGAATAGGATCTTAGCATATTAGAAGTGCTGTATTGGAATAATTTGGAACCTGTTTATCTTAATAAAGTTAGTAATAGCTGAAAAATGTGTGTGTATGTGATTGTGTTGCTGTACTGGGTAAATTATTTGACACTCCAGCGAAAGTGTTTAGCACAATGAGCCAAAATTAGCTTTTTACTTTCTTTTGATATACAGCTTTTCAGAAAGGACATATATATAAACAATAACACTTGCTTTTTCCCTAGGATGAGGTTTTGTCATAAAAAGGTTTGGTGATATTTGATTTCTGCCCTGGACAAAGGTCTTGTTAAAGAGTTGAGTTGTAGAGTTATTTCACATTTATGAGATCTGTTCTTAACATCGATCATTTGGATATTACTGATTTCACATCTGAATGTCAATTTTATGTTTTACTTGGAGAAACTTCATTACATTTAAAGACTATGGACTGAAGCTTTGCATTCTGACATTTCGGAACTGAAATATTTAAAGACAACTTTCAAAACCTGTCATGTATATTATTAACTGCAATATAATAATTTTTATGATTCATTTTTTGTCGTATGTACTCATTTTATACATTTGACTGTCTCTGTTGCTGTAAGTACCCGAAACTGACAGAGGAGCCTTTCTCCCTCTCATTCATCTCATTCCTTTACTAGACTCTCCACTGCTTTTCTACTGGGTACAGACTCATTTCCCTTTTCTGCCCAGGCCCCTAACAAGTATCACTCTAAGTACTTGTCCTGTATAGGATTCCCTTGCATGTGCTCTGTAAACAATCCAAACTCCACTGCCAACTTCACATATACATCCTGTACATTCTGTGCCACATTGTCCTTGTTCAGTCTCTTCTTGGAACACTTTAGCTTCCTCATCCCACCTCTCTCTGCTTGCCAAACCCATATTTAGCTTTAACAGTCCATTTCAAATGCCTTTTTTTCCCACGTGGTTGCCCTTTGGCCCCTATTCCTGCAGCTAATATTAATCCCTGGTTACTCTTTAATGCTCTACACACAGTCCTTCTCAAGAACCCTTTACTGTCTATTTTTGACGTTGATGTGTCTTTGTCAGTGTGTAAATCCTTTATGGTAGGAGTTGTATCTAATTTTCTCTTTCTTGCAGGCACCTACCAGAACATCTTGCATGGGCAGCCTGGAGTCAGTAATGTTTAGTTAAATTGTTAACCAGTCACTGTAGTATTCTTTCCAGACCAGCAGTGGTGAATCTCCAGTTAATCATCTGTGAATAGAGATGAATGTAGTTTTATTGAAAATATGACTTACATGATTATTAGATTAGATTGTAGTTAGAGTACGCTTTTAAAGTACCAGATCTTAACATTAGCAAAAAAAAAGTTTGGTAAAGTAGCCAGTAACTTTCTTACATACTAGTAAACCTAGATGTGGATATAGAAAAGTTGTTCTCAAAATTAACAGTGCTAGCAACAACAAAAACACAAATGCTTAAAGGTACATGAATAAATATATAACATAAATAAAACCATCAAACTTTAATAAGAGATGTAAAGATTTTGAGTAATTATAGAAACATTTCTGGATAAGAATATTGAATATTGTGGGGATTTCAGTTCTGTCCAGATTAATTTATAAATTTAATTTAGTCCCAATATAAAATGATCCTAAAACTTCTTTGTAAAATGAATAGGTATGAATAGTTATGGTAGTTTTATAAAGAAGAGTAATGAAAGGGTTTGCAGGATAGGGAATTCTTTGTCAGATATCAACTGATAGTCTTTGCAACAATTTGGTTTCAATACAAGATTTAAGATGTCAGTGGACAGTATTAGAGCCCCAAATAGACCCTTGATATATAATTACTTCATTTGTAACAAAGTAAACATCACAAATCATAGAAGTTATTGATTAATAAGTAGTGCTAGGAAAATTGGCTACTGGGGAAGGGGAGAAATAAGGCTCATATCCTCACCTTTAATTAAATTCCAGAAGGAATAAGTGGTAAATGTTAAAAAGGAAAATAGAAAAGAAATATAGGTTAAAAAAAAAAAAAGAATAAAAAGACCTAAAGCTAAAGAAAAAAGAAAAGGAAAATCAGAGGAAAAGATTGATAATGTTTGATTATGTAAAAATTTTGAAACATTTGTATGTCAAAACGTGAAAGATAAGGGACACTTCAGAGGACAATATTTGCCAAATGTAATAGACAAAGGTTGCCCTTACTATATAAAGAGCTCTTGTGAATAAATAAGAAAAAAAATTAACATTCCAATAAAAATGGGCAAATATGAACAAGGAAAGCCATAAAGAAATGCAAATAGGAAAATGTACATTTAAAACTACTATCAATATAAATTAAAATATATAGGACAAACAATCATGAAATATCATCTTTACTCCATTGGACTAGGAAAGATTAAAATTTAATACCTAAAGTTGGTAAGAGTATGGTGAAATAGACACACTCATGTATTATTTATTGATACATAAATCAGTGTGAACTTTTTGGGAAAACAGGCTTTACTATTGGATCCAATGATTCTGCTCCTAGTGATCTATCCTAAAATAATGGAGATACATATTGTATTAGTCATTTCTTCCTGTGTAACACTCCAAAACTGAGTGACTTAAAAATAAGCATTTATTATCTCACAGTTTCTGTGGGATGGGAATTTCTGTGCAGCATAGACTGGTGCCTCTGACTCAGGTTCTCTCACAACCCTGCAATCAAGTGGTGGCCAGACTATATAGTTAAGGCTTGACTGGGGAAGAATCTGCCTCCAGGCTCACTCATTTGGCCTCGGGTCTTTGCAAGCTGTAGGCTGAAGACATGAATTCCTTGCCACATGACCCTCTCCATAGAGCTACTTTCAACAACATGGCTTGCCTGCTGTAGGGAGAGATGGAGTTCTGTTCTTTTTGTAACCTGATATTGAAGGTAACATCTCCTCACTTCTGTTGGAGTCTGTTTGCTAGGAGTAGGCACCAGGTCCAAATCACATTCTAGGGGAAAAGATCACATAAGGACATGAATACCAGGGTATCAGTTTTGTTGGAATATTTAACCCCTACACAGGTTAATATACAATGGTTTTCATCAGTTTTTTTTTTATTTATAATAGCAAAAATATAAATAAATAATCACATATACACAAAGAAACCCGTAAGCAATTTAAATATTCCATAGTGGAAGAATAGTTAAATTGAGCTACATCCACACATGGTAGTACAATTGCATAATAATAATAATGTCTACCTTTTTTGAGTATCAGTCATGTGCTGTTCATTTGCTACATATTGTACAAATATTTCTGATCCTAACAACAATCATGTAAGGTCGGTTGTTATTCTCATTTTACAGATGAAAAAACTGATGCTCAGAGACAAAGTAGTTCATTGAATTCTCAGCGCTGGCATGCCATTATGGGGTTATCTGGCTTCAAAGCCCAGTAAGCACACTGCCACTGAAGTAATGCTTATGAAGATTATTTAATGACATGAGGAAGACTTAAGAAACTGTTTTTACAAAGTGATCTGTGTGTGCACATTTTATTTACATCGAAGAAAAAAGATAGTCACAAATGTTATCTTTCAATGGTAGAATCATAGAATATTAAAATTTTTCTTTACACTCTTATTTCATTCTAAATCTACATTGTGCATGTATTCGCTTCATAATCATTTTTAAAAATTGGAAAGCTTTGTAAAGTGTTTCAGTTCCCTCTACTCCCAAGGAAAAACCACTAAGAAGACTTGTACACACAGTTCTATGTAAAATTGAAATTTTACTTGATAATGAATCAATTCCTTTAATCTGCTCTTCTAGATTACTGATCTCTCCTTACCCAACTATCTGATGGCATCTTCGGTTGGACTGCTTCCTACCCAGCTTCTGAATTCTTACTTGGGTACCACCCTGCGGACAATGGAAGATGTCATTGCAGAACAGAGTGTTAGTGGATATTTTGTTTTTTGTTTACAGGTGAGTTTAAGGCCAAGGGTTGTCTTTTTTTTTTTTTTAATTGTCTTTTTCTATGGCATTACTGATTTAAACCTAACAGATTTCATTGAAAATAATTTAGGATAGGAGGATTTTAGGAATTTAGGAGGATTTTTTTCCTTTTTATATCTTGTTCTTTCGATTATACTTCATATTTTGACATTTACATTTTAATTGTGTGGATGTATGGAAGTTTATAAAACTGAATTGAACTTTTTTATAAAACTGAATTGATACTGAAAATTCTCTTAAAACAAACAAAAAAGGGAATGACAAAAATAAGGTTCTTTTTTGCAGTGATTTTCAAAATCATTATTTTGAGTTTTTATGAAGTGTTGTTAATACTATGTTTCTGAAGATAAATTTAGTGAGAATTGGTAGAGTTGGGTTTTTATCTTACTTTATCTTCTAATTATTAAACTCTCCAGTTGGTATTTTTAAGAGTATTATACTGGCAATGTAAAGTAATTTTTTCCAGTACAGTTTTATGTAGAACAAAATATTTTTTTTTAGAAGGTATTGCTTTATAAAAAGCACCTGAAGTATTCCATTACAAATTTAAGTAAGATTTGCATAATTGATTGCTGTTGCCATGCAAATTGTACTATAGTTTAGGGTACATACAATTACATATAAAAGGTTGATAAGAGAGAAAAATCCTGCTCTGTAGGCATATTTATTCAGTTCCTTTAAGTTGCAACAGGAAGAGTTAAAAAAATTCATTTCTTTGGTTGTGCTACATGTCCTTCCTGAGATTTACCAAGATATAAAATCACCATAATTTTTGATGATTTAGTAAGATGCTGATAATAACTGTTATTGAGATCTTTATATGCCATATATTTAAGCTCATTTAATCCCTACCAAAGGGCTAGGAGGTATGCACTTTTATTATCTCCAGCTAAAGGGCTAGGAGGTATGCACTTCTATTATCTCCAGCCAGTTGTATATACATCTCTTCCCAGCTCTTGTGTTCAGTGACATCAGCAATCTTTTTTTTTTTAAAGATTTTATTTATTTACTTGAGAGAGAGAGAATGAGAGACAGAGAGCATGAGAGGGAGGAGGGTCAGAGGGAGAAGCAGACTCCCTGCCGAGCAGGGAGCCCGATGCGGGACTCGATCCCGGGACTCCAGGATCATGACCTGAGCCGAAGGCAGTCGCTTAACCAACTGAGCCACCCAGGCGCCCCAGCAATCTTGAAACTGATCGTTGCAGGAGTGTTTATACCATGGAAAATGGCAGGTGCTCCAAATCAAGATTCTTACCTCTGATCTCCAAGAGCCAGTTTATCAGCACGCCAGTGGAGGGTAATTTGTCTAAAGTCACAGCTGCAAGGGGTAGAACCATGATATGAACCAGGGCAGTTGGCTCTGTGAACTATGCTCATAACTAGGACCATAGTTTACTGAGCATGTAACACTGAGATAGCCAACATCTTATTGATCCCTCAACTTGTTAGTTTTAATTAATTTGTTATTAAATATATGATACCATATTAGAAATGTAGTTGTTAGCATTATTCTCAATTTTTAAGGTACTATGTTGTATTAAAAATACTATGATAAATAAAGCCAGAGTTGATTTTTGCTGTGCTTATGTAGTACAAGTTCAGTAAACAGAGTAAGCCCAGGAATATTTATATTGAACTATAATTAAGGCTTATCAATTAAATGGCTTGCTTTAAGAAAAATTTTGTAATATTTTTGACATTCAGGGAATGTTTTTTTTTTACTTTTTTTCTACAAAGTTATATATATACACACACATTTTATATATATATATATATTTTTTTTTTTTTTAAAGAACCTGAATCTAGGTTTAGAGTTTTTATTAAAGTTGGTTTATTTTTATTAATGTAGTATGTTAATCACATTAAACTTTTTATGCATTATATGTTTATAATTACCTTAAGGTACTTTAAGATTCTAACATACACTGCATTCTCAGATTTTTTTAGCATAAATTTAAGTATATTTTATGTTTTTCTAGTTTCCTGAAAATGAATAATCCGTTTGAAATATCTTTCTCCCCCTTTATATTATGTTTGAGCAATTAGAATTTGCCATTATTAGTAGGTCTCATAAGATTTTCACTATTTTTGATACTTTATATTTCTGTGCATCTTAGTAAATCATTCAACTATAATTGGTAGAGTTATAATAGAACAGAATAGTCCATGTATTTGTCAGTAGTGCTTCTAAAAATATAGAGTCTTCTTTTTATCCAGTGATTTCTTACCCCTTTGTTTGAGCTGACAAATTTAGGCTTAGCATACAAGACGGGGGGAAAAAAGGGCAAATAGTTCTTAACCCAGACATTTATGAAAACAACAATAACCACCACAACAAAAAAAATAAAGGCATATTTACGCCTCAGTTTTATTTATTGATGTTACTTATAGCTTAGTATATTTCAGAAAGGATTTAATTTAGCTTATAAAAGATATACAGGAGAATTGTTTAAAACAAGAGGGAAAAGAAATCATCTTGAAAGGGGAAGTACATAGGAAAAAAGGATGAAGCTTAGATGAAAGTTAGTAGAGTAAGTGTATTCATGAGGTTTCTCATATTTTGCTAGAAATAAGTCACAGATTTGCCTCTGAGCTTTATAGCCACCTAAATAGAGTCCAGTGTATGTAAAATTAAAGCAATACAAGATAGATGTTCAGAGGAAGGCACAACTATTTCTTGTACAAAAATCCAACTTAGATTCTGTGGACTCGCAATTCAGTTACTCTTTTCCACGCCCTATGTTTTTCTGTATACCCACCAGCCAAAACCCTGGATGAGTCCCATGTTTTGATATGCTTTGCACCTGTTGTTTTTGGGAAGTCATACAGCCAGATTGGTAATATTTAATTCTTAATTGCAAACCTTCTGCTGGTTTCTCAACATTGCCCCATAGCCCAACTGTTTCCTTTGTCTTCGCACTCCCCCATTTCCTCAATGACTATTGCAAACCTATCTCAACTCCTCACAGTTTTGATTCCTATCCCCACTTTCCTCTTCAGTCTCAACAGATTACCTCTTTTGCTTAACAGAAAAATCAGAAGCCTTCAAATGAGAAACCCCTCAATTTCCATCTAAGAAATCCACTAATGCTCTTGTGTTCTGCTCATGCTCTCAGCTTGCTCTCCATTGTGACAGTGGAAGAGATGCCTTTCTGTAGAAGGCTTGTCCTTTTACTGTTTCATTCTTTCATTTTAATGGGGAAACTTTCTAAAACAGGTTTTTGGTTTTGGGGTTTTTTTATTTTACATTTTCACTAAGGTGGTGTGTTGGGAAAAGAATTAGTACATATTGCCAGGTCCTGGGTCTAGAAGGGCACCTGGGGAAAATCCCATGTAAAGAAATAGCCAGTTTACTCTCACTGGGAACCTGAAAAAGGTTTTCTGCTAGATCTAAGCCTACTTTCTATGGCTGTCATTGTTAACTTTGTTGAAATCAGATGCATTTTCCAGTTTTCATCTGGCTTGATCTCTTAGTAACCTAGCATTCTGTTAACCATGCTTTTTAAAACACTTTCTTCCCTTAGCTATTTTGATTGTTTTTTCCACTTGCCTGGTTCATTAATCAGTGTGTCTTCCTCTTTTCACCCGAAAATTGGTGTTCCTCATGATTCTAGCCTAAGCTTTCTGTTCTTACTCTGAAAACCTTCCTTGCTAGCAAATCCTGTTAATGTGGTGGCTGCTATTCTGTTTCTTTGTGTAAGGACTCCCTCATACACATCTTGAGCCCAGCCTTCTTGCCATAGCTTTGGACCTGTTCCCTGCACTGCTTTGGATCTCTGTTAGGCACCTCAAATTCAACATGGCTGAGGCAGAGTTTAGCACCTCATCCACACCCTTTCCAAGTTAGTTCTAAGGTGCTTTCTATGTCTTCACATGGTGTCATCATAACGCTGATAAGTATCAGACTTAGGGTTTTCAGTAAGTAGATCTTGTTTTTTTGTTGTTTTTTTTTTAAAGAGAGCTCACATGTTAGAGAACGAACACAAGATTTGAAGGCTCACCTTTAAAATACCTAATTTACTCAGAATTCTGTGGAGTAATGAATACCCACTTACTAGTGCCCCGCTTGCACATGTTCCAAATTCCCCTCTCTAACCCACCCCCAGCATGTCTGCCTCTGCCCTTCCCCCACTACCCTCAATGTTTGTATTCAGAATACTTTTCCCACAAAACTGCTAAAATTATGGGTAGGCTTAATTGAACCAGTGTTATATTTTAGGGTCACTATGGATATAGCAGCCTTTGAAACTTACTGGGACATTAAACATCACCTGTTCTAACCTTGTTGCACTGAGAATATTTGCTCCAAACTCTGAAAAACTGATCTACAAATGAAGTTTGGAATAAATACCATTTAGAAGATGTGTACTGCCTAGATATTCTGATGAACTATATATAGAATGTTAAAGCACATTAACACATAAAGAGGGACCACAGCTTCCTATCGGACAGAGGCAGAAGCCCACATAGTGATGTGAAGTCACATCACTAGTTGAGTGGCTAAACCAAGACTAGCACCTGACATTTCATGTCAGTGCTTTTTCTCATATCCCTCTGACGGGCATTTTTTTCTCGATCACCATGTTTTCCTTTGTTTTTGTTTTTCCCTAAGCACAGACAATTTGTTCATGGTCTCTTGTTAATTTCTTTTGAAGTTTATTGGCATTTCATTTCTTAAAAGTGGTTCTTAATATTTTGAATTTTGGCTGCACCAAGTAGTTCATTTGCAAATGGTGGTGCTTCTCTGTGAGTGGACTTAGGAATACCTGTGGACATTTATAGTTGTGCAAAGATACGATATTACATTAATTACATTAATAAGATTTAGTTAGCAGACCTCTGTTGTAGACTTTTTTTTTTATTCCTTGAAGGAAGCTTTTTGGTACAAGAGACAAGTTTGACTTGTATCAAGGAAACATCATTTATATGGACTAAAAGGGATGTCTGCTTGCCTTGTGTTAACCTGATATCCTACATTGGTGACTTAAAGATTTAAGCCCTCTAATCTCAATAGATGCCCCAAGGAGAGAATGAGTGGCAGCTGTGTATAACCTATTTAAAATTGTTACCTGACCATATTTGAGAAGCATCCTGTTTGAAACATTTCTAAGCCACATATTTATTGGGTTTATTTCTCCCTTTTTTTCCCCTGTGTAAAATATTGTTAACTGTAGTGTTTTATTTTTATTCACAGATTATTATAAGTATAGGCCTCATGTTTTATGTAGTTCATCGAGCTCAAGTGGAATTGAATGCCGCTATTGTAGCTTGTGAAATGGAACTGAAAACCTCTCTGGTTAAAGGCAGTCAACCAAATACCAGTGGCTCTTCATTCTACAACAAGAGGACCCTAACATTTTCTGGAGGTGGAATCAATATTGTGTGACTCTAATGAAATGTGTGATTGTCAAGAGCTAGTGTGCTGTCCAAGGTCTAGTGGTCACCTTACCAGCGGGCAGAGACAAGTTCTAATTGTATTATGGCACAAACAAAACTGACTAGTTTTTAAATTGCACAGTTTTTTTAAAGGAAGAATCATTTTCTGGATATGTAATTGTAAATGTAGATGCAAATTTGGGCTGCACCTCTTTATCATTTATTACGCCCACAGTGGCCCATAGGTCTGCACTTTAGTGTTTTTTAATTGTTTTCTTTCTGGGTACTTAAGAACGGAGAAATAACCCAAATATTTTTCTGCTTAGTGTCTTTATTTATAAAGTCCATGAATAGTTGTAAGCATCTTCCCTACTTATAATGATGAGTAAAAGTAAGTAATTTTAAATGTATGATATTATTTAGATGTTCTGTGTCCTTTTCAGAAAAGATAGTTTTTTTGGTTTTGTTTTTTGTTTTAAGTGGGACCACTTTGCTTCCCTTTTCCTTACTAGTTAGAAAATAGACATTAACTTTTGGTTGAATGTATTTTTGCAAGCATCATTGCAGGGCCATTTACACCTTTTCACACAAGCTTAAATCCTACATTGTGGGACTGAAGTGCTCTTAAGATACCTTTTTATTTTCACTGTGGAATATGCAAAGCAAAAGGGAAATTATTTAATGGGCGGTGGCTCAAATTAGAACCCATGTTCTAATTCCATTACATTGGCTTTACTTTCGTTAGATCTTTCATCAAAGGGCTGTCCCGTTGCAGTCTTACTAAAAAGTTTTAGTAAAATAAACTTCCTTTTCTTTTTATATTCATCATTAGGCTTTGAGATAAAGATCTATTCCTTTAAAATGATGGACTTAACCATCATGGACGATGTCACTCAGGTGGCCTTGTTTCATCAAATAGCCTTTAAAAAAAAAACCAAGCTTTAAAATCATGTTTATAAGTCCACTGAATTGCATATATATGTCCCCATAGTCTTCAGCTTTAAAACTATAAATATAATGTTAACTTAATGCCCGAATTTGTATTATTTGCCCTACTATAAAGTAGGTTTATTTTGTTTGTTTTTTGGTACTTGTTTTTCTCTGATAAGACTCAGGAATTCTGAAATGTGAAATTAAGTCTCAATTCTTTCTCTTGTAGTATGAATTGAGTGTATTTATTAATAGCACTTAGGGATATAGCATACAAAAATTTGGCATATGAATCATACGACGTATGTATTACCCATCTATCACCTTATGTTTTTAAAATGGTTTAATTGTGAACTTGATGACTAGTTTTTTTACAACCCAGATTATAAATATGAATGCAAATTTTCTGGTTGGTATCTCTTTTTTGGCTATGACTATTTCACCTTATCAGAGACCTCCCATTTGCCTTTTCATTAGGGTAAAACCTTTGCCCTGATTTACTAAAGTGCAAAAGAATTCTTTGGGAGCACATTTTTCTAGTCTGATGCTATAGACACATTGCATTTGATTTTAATTCATAAGTTTTTTTCCCCTATTGCAGTTATAATTGATTTCCTTTTCTTCATCATGTTTAAGTTTTCTCACCTTTGGGTAACAGAGAAGTTCATTTATTGATTTCCATACCAAGACCTCAGTGCAAATGATCCAAGAGGTACCTGGGTCTACAGTACTTAATTGGCCTCCAAATCCTTCTTTCTTTCACTGGTAGAAAAAAATATATAGTCCTAGAATATTCGTATTCTTTTTTTTAATCCTAATTACTTGTTTTTATTTTTTTAAATAATTTTAGTTTAATAATCCCGATGAACAATATGCTTGATTTATTCTTTTCTGTCTAACTTGACAATATTTTTCTTGTGCTTCGTGTTTGTTGGTAAGTTTTTGTTAAAGGAATCATTTAAGATCACTACTCTCAGACTTATGTTACACTTCATGTATTTTGAAGTGCATTTATTTACTTAGCATTTTGTAACTTGAATAATTTCACCAAATGAATACCTTTTAGTAGTTTGTAATGAGTTCTTCCAGTTGTTGCATTCTGCTTCATACTTAAAATAAGTATGTAAAGGTAGAAGAGAAATAATTTTTCTGTATTCTGCCAATCATAATTTTATATAATAAAATCATCCATTTTTTACTTAAAATAGTATGGATTTACTATTTCCAAAATACTAATCTAAAGCTGCAATTTTCCTTTGCTGCTTTATTTTTGGCCTCCCAAGTAAACAACAATCCATTATATTTATGCTGTTTGATAGCTGAATTTGGTTACTGGGTTTTAGATGTGCTCTCTATAAATTGTATGAAGCATTGCCATGCCTTATTCACTCCATCTTTAACCCTGCATCCCAGATTTATGGCAGCAACAAATTTAACAGGATCCTTGTACGTTGCCCAAATGATGCCTCCAGTTCTAGAGTGTGTATTTGTAAAAGAAAATGTTTTGATTTTTCAAACTGCAGTATAAAGTTGCTTTATGAACATTTTAAAAAGTATACAACATACCTAATTTCTCAGTCTGATTGAAAGATATGTTCTATTTTTAATTCTTTGGGCCTTTCCCTTAGTTTTCCATAGTTTTTTGGTTTATTGTTAGTGATTTGTTTACTCTTCGCCAAATTTTGTCATGTAAATTATCTTTAAACAGCACATCTTTTTAAAAACGTGTACATAATAATTTACTAAGTGCTTTCATGTCCATTTTCATTTGATCATCTGATTTGTGAAATAACTTGAAATCTGTACTCTTTGGTTTATGAAGATAATAGAACCAAATCTCTGTCATTAGAACGTGTGTTTTGAGTTTGTGTTCAAAAGTGTGTGGATTTGTTCAGAGCCAGCTATACTCTTGTTTAATGTACTTTGTAACTAACTGCAAACCTAAGATGACTTTCCTTTGATAGGGTCAAACATATGACTATAAACCATTTCCCTCCTTGAGAGGCTAAGTTCAGTAGTTACTCTTACTTACATCCTTGCTGTAACTGAGCTCAGTGCCCTAGCCACCGGCATGTCCCAGCCTTTCTGTGTGTGTTAACGTGCAATGCTGATTTGGACTGTTCTTGGGGAAGGTGCTATGGCTTACTTATGTCAGTATTTGTGGGACTAGCTTTAGAATGCTTGAGAAAGAGGCTAGGTATGTGCCAAGGTAATCCAGGTCAATCCTTAGATGCATGGTAAATCCATGCTATTCAAAATCAAGTGGCGTTCACAGAGAAAAAAAAGGTCAGGAACAGTGATACTGACTGAGGTTGATGACTTCAGTGATGGAATTTGTTTCCGAGGCCACTCACTTATCAGAACAATGGTCAAAATTACACTCTCTGGTGTTTAGATTGGACGTTGCTGATTTCTGTTATAATAAGCTGGTTAGGATATCATTTTTTTAAAGGTCATCTCTTTAAGTTTAAAAGCCTTTAAAGAAGGGAGGAATCACCTGTTCCACAGGATATTTGAAACTCAGGAGTTCTAATAACTTTGCATATTGAACATGAACTATTTATTTCACAACTAAATTATAACTTGGTACTTTGGAATTGCTAAGTGATTGCTGCAAACTATTTTCTACAGTAGCTGAAGATTTAAAATAGATAATTTGAAGGGTGAATCAGTAAAATCTCATGATAATTGATATCCCAGATCACTTGTGTGCCTGAGAAAATAAAAGGTGATATTTTATTTTCCTTCTTTCTTCTCTTTCTTTCCCTCTATAATTTGATGGATATAGAGACATGTGATATGGGAGGGAGCAATTTATGAGGAAGGGAGGACATGCTAAGATGGAATGGTGGTGACTGACCCTAGAAGAGGGTGGTTATGGTTACGGTTATAGCAGAGGCCTTCTGGAGAAATGATTCTGATGTCTAATGTTGCCACTTGCTCTTTTTTTTTTTTTTTTTCTAATACCCCTAAATCACGAAATGCCACCTGCCTGTCAAAAAATCTTTAGTCAGGGCGCCTGGGTGGCTCAGTTGGTTAAGCGACTGCCTTCGGCTCAGGTCGTGATCCTGGAGTCCCGGGATCGAGTCCCGCATTGGGCTCCCTGCTCAGCGGGGAGTCTGCTTCTCCCTCTGACCCTCCTCCCTCTCATGCTCTCTGTCTTTCATTCTCTCTCTCTCAAATAAATAAATAAAATCTTAAAAAAAAAAAAAAAATCTTTAGTCATTTGTCTCAGGCTGCAGTAATGTTTACGATGCCTTCATAATGTTGAAAGACTTTAACCAAAATGATTTCCTATGGATCTCTACCCTCCTTCCATGACTGTTACCTTGAGGGCATACTCTGCTGTCATAACACTTTTCATCTCCGCACCTAAAATAATACTTGTCCTTGTTTGTTTGTAGCAGTTACCGCACTGTTATGTATATCTTTTTTGGCCATTTTTGGTCAAAATTGGTTGCTAGAACATAAACTAGGCCAAAGGGGGGATGCCCCATGTTACAGACTGCTTTCAACTGGAGAGGTACAGTGGAGCACTGACTGGATAAGTGTGTCTGGCAGTGCGACTGCTCATTACCCAAGATTGCACAGTACTCTCTGCCATGCCTCTTTGGTTGATGGTGCCTGTCAGCACTCATTGTGGGGAAAACGTAGTAGTAGTATACTGTATTGGGAGGTCAGTATTGAACATTTTTAGGGATAGCATTAAATGCACAGTGGTATTAAAATAGTATATGTGTATATGGTAAACTTAATCATTTTGCCATGTTTCAACAAAGTTGATTATCTAAACAGTAATTACTAACTGATACTACTGTCTTAAAAATGACTAATACTCTGTAGGGCAATCTGCTGGGTGAAAGGCTTAAAAATCACAAAACATGCAGAGAAATGGAAGAGAAGAGAATGAGTAGAATATGCATTGAACCAAAAAAGAATAATTTGAAAATTACAAAATTTTTACAGTAGATATACAATTAGAGTGGTATGGGTTTGTTTTTTTTTAAGATTTTCTTTATTCACTATAGAGATAGATGGAGCTATATAGAGAGAGAGAGAGCACATGAGCGGGGGGAGGAGCAGAGGAAGAGGGACGAGCAGATTCCAAGCTGAGCACAGAGCCCCACGCCAGGCTTGATCCCAGGACCCTAAGATCATGACCTTAGCCGAAACCAAGAGTTGGACGCTTAACTGCACCACCTAGGCGCCCCATCCCTGGTATGTTTTAATGTAAGTGTGTTTATCCTAGGATGCATAAAATTTATGACTACCATATAGTAGAAGCAGCTAAGAGGGAATTCTTTGATTCTGTCCTTATTAGTTACAAAGCGCTTTTCAGTAGAAATGTTTTGAAGCATGGCCTGTTTCATACTCATTATCTCTCCCAGTCTTGCACTAAGTTGACCTCAGCAAGGAGGGCAGGGAACTGAGTGGTTTTCCATTAAGTTTTTTCAGTTCATTCGTCCAATTTTAAGTTAATTAACTGGTTTTGTGTCATCACATACTTTAAATTTACAAAAGAACGGCTTTGCATGGAATCCACATTCTAGGTAGTTTGCAAAGGAGTGCATTACATTATTAGATGGACTTGGAACAGATTTTGGGAACATGGAACCTGAGATTGTCTTTCCTCCGCTTGGCTGCTAGGATCTACAACTGCTGGGCACAGATGAGGTTTGCTTTCTGTGAGGGTCTTAGCAGAGAAAGCCAACCTCTGATTTTCTCTGGTTTCCCAGAGAGCAGGGCTTTCTCTGCTGGGAGGAAAGACTGGAGAGCCGGAGATCTTGGGGGAGACTTTGAAATTCTTGGGCTTCTCAGTGGAAGTTTGATATGGACCCCACCAAAATATGTCAGTTCTCCCTGGCCTCAGTAGGCTGAGAGCAGCTAAGTGGCCTGAATGTTTCCTGCTGCCAGAGAAGGAGAGAATTCAGGAAGACCATATACAAAGAAGTTTCCTGCAAACTTCCTTCAAGGAATTCACAGCCTGCCTGCTTCAACTTCCACCCCTGGCATTTCTGATGTATTAAGTGCAGCATTGTTCTTAGTGTCAAACAACTGGAAACAAAGTGAACACAGCTTGTAGGGGAATGGCTGCACAAATTATGGCAGATCCACACCACTTCAGAGAAAGGAACTAGGTGTGTGTCCATGAATGCTGACGTCCACTCTCCTAGGCTGCTCCCAGCCAGTCACTGGGCAAGGTCCATTCCTGATGATGTGGGATTCCTCTTAACAGGATACATTTCCTTAGGGACATCCCATCAGTCGGGCTGAGGTTTTCTCAGGACTGACCTGCAAACTGAGGTCCATCCTTTGCTCCTTTCTCAGGTGTTAGTCCCAAGTCTTAGTTAAAAGGCCCTCTCTGCCAACTCCTGCTTCTTCCCCTTTATTCTTCACAGGCATTTCCCTCAGTAAGTCTCTCGTGTTTAATTCAACTTGCATCTGTTTCTTGGAAGACCTGAACTGATACAATCTGCTATGATGCAATGAGGGGGAAAAAATCACTTCTGTGATATTTCTGCCAAAAATGCATGATCTGAATCTCTTCATGAGGAAACAAACACCAGACAAACCCAACGGAGGTACCTTGTAAACACAACTGGCCTGTAGTCCCGAAAACTGTCAAGATTATGATAAAAAAAAAAAAGACTGAAAACCTGTTCTACAGTGAAGGACTTTAAAGAGATGAGATAACTAAATGCATGTGTGATCCTATATTGAATTTGTTACAAAGAACATTATTAAGATAAGTGGAAAACTTGGACTGGTTCTTTGTATTAGATGGTGATAACCATCTTGATGGCATGAGAGGAAATGCTCACTAGAGAATTCAGGGATAATGAGTGGATCATCATGTCTGAAACTGGGTTCAGAAGATAAAGGTCTTTGCACAATTCCTGCAACTTGTCTATAAATTTGAAATTCTCATCTTTCAAGAAGTAAATGTGGAATATGGGGAATGGACTCAGAGGAGCCAAGAAGAAAAGTCTGGAGACAAATTAGAAGGCTATTCGCAGATGTCCAGCTAACAATGAGTGGGACAGGAGGTATGGTAAGCAAAGAGAGAGTCAAGGTAGATTTAAGTGATGGAATTATCCAGACTCATTAATGAATTGGATATTGGGCAGGGGGGGGCGGTAAGAAAAAGGGTAATTAAAGATAATTTTTTGTTTCTGGCTTTAGCAACTGAGTGGAGGCTAGCCACTCAGTGTAGCAAGGAAGATGGAGGGGATAATAGGTTTAGGAAGAAACCTAAAAGCTAGGGTTCTGCTTGCTTATCCAAGAGGAAGGCTTGTCACCGTGCTGGATTTGTGAGCACTTGCCTCAGAAAATATTTCTCTATTGTAATTTTCCATCAGGCTACAATGGGCTGACCATTCCTGCTTCCAGCATCACCATCTATTGTGATAGTGGCTGAAAACAGGATGAGCTCTAAATGTGGTTTTAAATTTGCACTTGCATTAGGCTCACTCCTCATAAGAACTTTGGGAATTACTTTCTCTCCTGGGGCTCATTAGAAGCTTCCTAGCGTTAACAAACAGGTAACTAGTTGCTTTATTACATATGTAATAGGGGGAAGACTACTCTCATTTTCAATTCACTATCATTGTTACCATCAAAGGGAATTGTAAATGAGAGTTTTCTTAAATACAATTAGCTTAAGGCTACTCAAGTATTCATTCAGAGAACATTCTTATTTAAAAATGTTTAACTCTGGTCTGTGTCTGAAAGATATAAAACATGTAGATTTTGTATATTTTATATGTTTGCTGTTACACAAATTTGATAAAAATAGCCAACATTCTTTAGATAAAGATAGGTGGTAGTTCTTTTTGGGCACCCCAGTAACAGGTGGGTAGGAAAGCGAAAACAAAACTAAGTAGGCAGGAAAACAATTCCTTAGGAGTGGAAAAAAAGCAGGGAGGGGTCAGTGATCTTGACATTTCAGTGAGGGGATTTCTAGGAAGATGTCACAAATATTCATAAGGACCAAGAAATCTGTTCCAGTGTCCTGTAAGACGTGTATTTTGTTTGACCCCTACTCAAGATTGTCTCGAGAGGTCTTGAGAAAGCTACTGTTGAAAGACTTAAAGCATTTTACTTAATCTGTCAGTTTAACAGTGACACTTGTGTCTCAGCTCTGCCATTCACTAGGGAGAAGCTTCACCAAATGGAGTTTGGTTCTGACTTTTCCCCAGGTTCCTGTTCTCTGTCCTCATATTTATAAACAATCGAGCTAGAGTTCTTGTCCTCTAACCCTCCAAAAATGTTCATAGTGAAATCAGTAGTAGTCGGAGTATGTTGAGTTACTTGAGTGGTATTTGCCGTTGCACAGAGCAAAAGGGAGGGGCCAACTGACCAGTCTCTCTGCAGTATCAGCAGTCAGTGCACAGTTGCTTTTCTCCTTTTCCCCAGAGTTGAACAGGACCCTGAATAGGGCTCAGCTGAAGCAGATACATGGAAATAACATGTATCATGGAGTCTTAACAGATGCCTTCTACTGTGCACTATTCTCTTACTTCATCCTCACTCTCTCAGAGGCATTTGTCTTGTTCTCTGTCTTGTTCATCACTGCCTTGCCGGCTCCTGGAATAGTGCCCAGCACCTAGTAGATGCATTATAAATATTTGTTGACTTACTGAATAGTAAAATGAGCATAACCTTGTAGAGATGGGACATGGCTTGCTTACACTACTGGATTTAATAAATATTCCAAAAATGTTGGCTCTAAATCATTTGTCAATTTTTCACTTTTTATATGTTCTATAAAAACCAGGGAATATAATTTAAGACAATTCTGCTATAGCAGAGGGTCTTTGTTTTTCTGGACTACTGCAAACATGTTCCCTTTACTCAATTTCTCCCAGTGGTAGCACCTTACAGAGCTGTAGGACAGTGTCACAACCAGGGTAGTCATATTGATGCAGTCGAGATAGACTAGTTATAGCACAAGGGCCCCTCATTTTGCCCTTTTATAGCAACACCTACTCTCTTGCCCCTACCCCATATCTAGCCCTGGCCAGCACTAATCTGGTCTCCATTACTACAACTTTGTCATTGCCAAAATGCTAATATACATGGAATTATATAGTAATCTCTTGGAACTGGCTTTTTTCACTCAGCGTAATTCTCTGGTGATTCATCCAGATTGCCAATAATCGGAAAAGAATTCAGTCTTACTGGTAATTAAGGAAATGTAAATGATGAGGATGACGATGATACTATTAAACCACCAAAGCTTAAAAAACACAAAAAAGAAAACATACAATGTATGCAAAATTGGAGGAAAAGGGATGCTTTCATAAAGACAAGAACAGCTAATACTGATTGCCTGTTATATGCTTTGCAAGGGTCTAAGCATTTTACCTATGTCAATTTCTCTAACCACAGCAGCTCTGTGAGGTAAGTGCAACTCTTATCTCCATTTTATAGATGAGCAAACCAAGCATTGAGAGGTTAAAGTAATTTGCCCAAAGTCATAGAATGAGTAAATGGCAGGGCTAAGACTCAAACATTTATTTCCTAGTTTGTTTTTTAAGAACAGATATGCATTATTTGTAACATCAAAAATTCATTTGTCCACAATTAAAATGACGCTCCCCTAAGGTAGCAACCAAATATTCTGGCATCAGAATTATTTCAATACTCCATTTCATCTCCTGTGTCCTACAGTGCCATACCAACCCATCCAAATTGGTGTTACCGCTACTGGAAATCATACGGAAGTTATTTCTATATTATCTGTAATTTAAAAAGTATTTTCCTTTTGATTGTTTCCAAAGCCCTGAAATAATGACTATCAATATCGAATAAAATTTATAAAGTAAAATATATAAACATCTTAGTGTACTTCCTAAGTTTCACGATATCTGAGGCATCCTACAGTAAAACCAAGTTTATAAAGCTTATTTTATAAAAAGAGGTACTTTATTTTAGATTGATAGATTCAGATTTTTTAAAATGAGAAAATAAGTCAACTGTCCCAAAGGTATCATTCTCCCAAAACAGGGTTTTAAAACTGCAGCATTCAAGGTTGGTTCAACATCCGCAAATCAATCAATGTGATACGATACATTAATAAAAGAAAGAACAAGAACCATATGATCCTCTCAGTAGATGCAGAAAAAGCATTTGACAAAGTACAGCATCCTTTCTGATTAAAACCCTTCAGAATGTAGGGATAAAGAGTACATACCTCAATATCATAAAAGCCATCTATGAAAAACCCACAGTGAATATCATTCTCAATGGGGAAAAACAGAGCTTTTCCCCTAAGTCCAGGAACATGCCAGAGATGTCCACTATCACCACTGCTATTCAACATAGTTCTAGAAGTCCTAGCCACAGCAATCAGACAACAAAAAGAAATAAAAAGCATCCGAATCGGCAAACTAGAAGTCAAACTCTCACTCTCTGCAGATGATATGATACTTTATGTGGAAAACCCAAAAGACTCCACCCCAAAACTGCTAGAACTCATACAGGAATTCAGTAAAGTGGCAGGATATAAAATCAATGCACAGAAATCACATTTCTATACACCACCAAGAGAGAAGAAAGAGAAATTAAGGAGTCGATCCCATTAAATTGCACCCAAAACCATAAGATACCTAGGAATAAATCTAACCAAAGAGGCAAAGAATCTGTACTCAGAAAACTATAGAATACTCATGAAAGAAATTGAGGAAGACACAAAGAAATGGAAAAATGCTCCATGTTCATGGATTGGAAGAACAAATATTGTGAAAATGTCAATGCTACCTAGAGCAATCTACATGTTCAATGCAATCCCCATCAAAATACCATCCACTTTTTTCAAAGAAATGGAACAAATAATCCTAAAATTTGTATGGAACCAGAAAAGACCCTGAATAACCAGAGGAATGTTGAAAAAGAAAACCAAAGCTGGTGGCATCACAATTCCAGACTTCCAGCTTTATTACAAAGCTGTCATCATCAAGACAGTATGGTACTGGCACAAAAACAGACACATCGATCAATGGAACAGAATAGAGAGCCCAGAAATGGACCCTCAATTCTATGGTCAACTAATCTTTGACAAAGCAGGAAAGAATGTCCAATGGAAAAAAGACAGTCTCTTCAACAAATGGTGTTGGGAAAATTGGACAGCCACATGCAAAAAAATGAAACTGGACCATTTCCTTACACCACATACAAAAATAGACTCAAAATGGATGAAAGGCCAAAATGTGAGACAGGAGTCCATCAAAATCCTTGAGGAGAACACAGGCAGCAACCTCTTCAACCCCAGCCGCAGCAACTTCTTCCTAGAAACATCACCAAAGGCAAGGGAAGCAAGGGCAAAAAAAATGAACTATTGGGACTTCAAGATAAAAAGCTTTTGCACAGCAAAGGAAACAGTCAACAAAACCAAAAGACAACCGACAGAATGGGAGAAGATATTTGCAAATGACATATCAGATAAAGGGCTGGTATTCAAAATCTATAAAGAAATTCTCAAACTCAACACCCAGTGAACAAATAATCCAATCAAGAGATGGACAGAAGACATGAACAGACATTTTTCCAAAGAAGACATCCACATGGCTAATAGACACATGAAAAAGTGCTCAATATCACTTGGCATCAGGAAAATCCAAATCAAAACCTCAATGAGATACCACCTCACACCAGTCAGAATGGCTAAAATTAAGTCAGGACATGACATGTTGGCGAGGATGCAGAGAAAGGGGAACCCTCCTACACTGTTGGTGGGAATGCAAGCTGGTGCAGCCACTCTGGAAAACAGTATGGAGATTCCTCAAAAAGTTGAAAATAGAGCTACCCTACAATCCTGCAATTGCACTACTGGGCATTTACCCCAAAGAAACAAATGTAGTGATCCGAAGGGGTATGTGCACCCCGATGTTTATAGCAGCAATATCCACAATAGCCAAACTATGAAAAGAGCCAAGATGTCCATCAACAGATGAGTGGATATAGAGGATGTAGTATATATACACAATGGAATATTATGCAGCCATCAAAAAACTGTAATCTTGCTATTTGCAACGATGTGGATAGAACTAGAGGGTGTTATGCTAAGCGAAATAAGTCAATCAGAGAAAGACAAGTATCATGATCTCACTGATATGAGGAATTCTTAATCTCAGGAAACAAACTGAGTGTTGCTGGAGTGGTGGGGGTGGGAGGGATGGGGTGGCTGGAGGATGGACATTGGGGAGGATATGTGCTATGGTGAGTGCTGTGAATTGTGTAAGATTGATGAATCACAGACCTGTATCTCTGAAACAAATAATACATTATATGTTAAAAAAAAAAAAGTAGGAAGGGATAAATGAAGGGGGGGAAATCGGAGGGGGAGACGAACCATGAGAGACTATGGACTCTGAGAAACAAACAGGGTTTTGGGAGGGGTGTAGGGGGATGGGTTAGCCTGGTGATGGGTATTAAAGAGGGCACATACTGAATCGAGCACTGGGTGTTATACGCAAACAATGAATCATGGAACACTACATCAAGAACTTATGATGTAATAATGTATGGTGACTAGCATAATATAATAAAATTTTTTAAAAAAGAAAAAAAAGAAAACAGGAAAAAAAATAAAACTGCAGCATTCTTTGTGGAACCAGAATCCATATTAACTAAATGGGTTCTAAACAATCAAAAGTATTACAATTATCTAAATGATTTCTGAGGAGGGTAAATGACACATAGATTATGTTAATGATTTAAATATCTGCCTATATTTGAAATAAAATAGCTATTAAATTTACTATTTTTCCTCTGATAAAAGGCAAATAATGTTCTTCATTGAGCTTTTGTCATTATAGTTCATTTGCTTCATTCTAAAAGCGTTCTTATTTTCTTTCCAGTTTTAAAACTTTTTGATATGTATATTAATCAGGGGAGGAAGAAAATTATATGAATGGCTTAACATTACTCAGTTAAAAATAAATTCTTTATTTTCCTAAACTTAAAAATACTATCTCATGATTACTATGGCTTGCTGTCTTTAAGCTGTGATTAAAATTATGACAAAACATTTTGTTTCCAGGTAAAAGTGTTGCAGATATGAGCTGAGTATATCCACATAACTGGGCAGGTATATTGACAATGCAGCCAACATGAGCACATCAAAAAAAAAAAGTCACTGAAATGTTTGTGACTCAGAGCACATTTGAACAATTCCTATTTAACATGTCATGTGATAGCTCTTCAGAGTCATGTACTTATTACTGTCACTCAAAATAATGACAATAAGTGTATCCCAATATTTTGACCCTATAAATTATAAATATTATAAATTAATGTTGAATAATAATATAATATATGTAATTACATAATAATAATAAATTAATGTTGAATATTTGTTCATCTTGGATTTTCTTTTTTGTGCTTCTTGGGATTTTGATTATCCCACAGTAGAATTATTATGTAATTTTGTAAAAAGATTTCTTTGTAGCAAATTCTTCATAGGGAAAATACAGAGAACTCAAAATAAATTCTCAACAGATTTCAGATATGGATTATATGTTCTAATTTTAGGGAACAGAAAGTACCAACTAAATTTCCCTTCACCCACAGAACATATGAATTGACTAAATGAGATGCTAATTATATGAATAAGGTAGAGATGGAAAGTCTGAGAACTAAATCCTCTAAGTATTATATTGACAATTATCTGTTTAATTCATATATTACAACCCTTTTCAAGATAAGTAAATTTACCTCTC